GCGTCTGGGGGTGTACCGCGTATGTGTTGCTCAGCCCCCACACGCGCAGGAAGCAAGGTGGCAAGCTTGGTCCCAAAACCCAGACCTGCATGTACCTGGGGCACAACTCCGGACTCCCTAGACTACTTATTCCTCAACCCCATCACCAGACAGTGATCGCAGCCGTGATGTCGTCTTCGATGAGACACGCCCTTCCGCTCTGCGACCACACACAAGCCTCCTCCACCTCCCCCGATGCTTGTTTGGGTAGACTTCGATGCCCCACCTCCGTCCGGTGCCCTTTCTCCGGACCTTCCTCCGTCCGGCGTGTCTCACCGGCCTCCCTCGGTATCCTCCGCAGCGGCACCTCCTTCTGCTCCGCCTTCCCCGCGCGTCGAGCCCAGCTCACAAGTCTCCTACCGGAGGCGCCCAGTCCCTCCGGTCCCACCGTAGCTGCCTTCGTCTCCGGTCTCTAGTTGCACTCGTTCCAAGGACCGGCTCGGCCTCTCACCTGGGGACCAGCCATCTTCTCCATCCGGTGTTCGGTGACCCTGCCTCCTCCTGCCGGGGGTGATGTCCCCTCCATCCGTATTCCCCCCCGTGCACTTCTGGAGGACAGGCATGAGGAGCTGTTTGACCTTCACGCGGTCTGCCAATTTCTCTCTCACATCTTCCCGGACATTACTGACTGCCCTTCCCTCAACTTCACTGAGAACCCGACCATTCCGACTCCTCGCACAAAAGAGGAAGCTCTCTTGGGGCCTTTTAAGAAGGAGTGGAAGGCAGCAATGGATGTGGAGAACGAGGCGTTCATTCACAACAACAGCTTTGACGATATCGTTCCCCCTTCCGGTGTCAACATCGTCGGCGGAAAATGGATCTTCCGAGTCAAACAACTCCCAGCGAAGCTCCATTATACAAGGCACGATACGTGGCAAAGGGTTTCACCCACAAGGAGTATCTCGACTTCTTCGAAACATTCTCGCCCACGGCCAAGCTCCCGACTGTGCGCGCTCTTCTTGATATAGCCGCTCGCGGCAACTTCGAGATCAAGTCCATGGATGCCTCCTCCGCCTTTCTCAAGGCCAGCTCAAGGAGGATGTTCACATGGAACGCCCACCGGGGTTTCCTGGCACTTACCCTGCCAACACAGTGTGGAAGCTGAAGCGCCCAGTGTATAGCCTCAAGCAGGCTCCTCGTGAGTGGCACAACAAGGTGAAGGAAGTCTTCCTCGCACTTGACTTCCATCCCTCTGCCTCAGATTCGAGTCTCTTCATTCGTCACTCCTCTGAGCCTTTCTACATCCTCGTCTACGTTGACGACTTCATTCTAGTCGCCAGAGATCCAGCCGAGATGCCAGCTGTCCAGTCTGTTCTAAGCTCCGCCCTTCTCATAAAGGATCTTGGTGACCTCAAGAACTACCTGGGGATGGAGATCACTCGTGACCGCCATGCTTGCACGATCACCCTCTCCCAGAAGTCCTAGATCGACAACCTTCTCAAGCGTTTCGACATGGACTCCAGTAACTCTGTCTCCACTCCACTCCCACTACAGCATCAGCTTATGGCCCCTCCGATTCCTTCTCTTGACGCCTGCAAGGACCCGTACCCTGAGCTAGTCGGTTCACTCATGTATGCCATGATGATGGTGGCTTACCCGGTTAGTGTCCTCTCTCGGTACGTCTCCCCTGGACGCTACACTGCCTCACATTGGTCTGCAGCCAAGAGGGTCCTCCGCTATCTATCAGCCACCAAGTCTTACCTCCTCACTCTTGGTGGTACCTCTCCAGTCAAGCTCGAGGGATACACAGACTTCTCATGGGCTGATGACCAGACTCACAGACGCTCCTCCCAAGGGTACTGCTTCACCCTTGGTAGTGGAGTCATCACCTGGCGCTCCCCTCGGTCCTCTGCAGTCTCCCTGTCGTCCTGCGAGGCCGAGCTCTATGCAAGCACAATGGCTGCTCAAGAGGCACGCTGGCTCTCCTTTCTCCTCGCTGAGTTAGGCTACCCCCAGCAGTTGCCCACCTTGTGGTGTGACAACCAGAGCGCCATTCACCTCACCAAGGATCCTGTGTTCCACTCTTGCACCAAGCACATCGAACTTTGTCATTTCTTCATCCGAGATCTTGTTCAGAGTGACCAGCTGACGATACTGTACATCACCTCAGATTGCAACCTCTCCGACCTCGTTATGAAGGCTCTCGGCAAGGCTGACCACCATCGCCTTCTCCGTTCCATGGGGCTATGTGCTCCTTGACTGGGTTTGCAGTCTATGGGGGTGTGTTAGAAATAGACTGCAAATCCCACTTTTGTATTTGTACTGTTATATCCTAGTTTAGGTTATGAATGTTCTGGTGGGTTGGGGTGTACTCACAAATCCCAACCTCACCCGATTGTGATCCCCCCAATCTCCAATTACCCAATCGGAGATTTCGGAGATCCCAATGGGGATTCCCTCCGATTCTCCCCTTCATCCATTCACTCTCACCTTGCCATGTACTTATAGAGCCTTGGGCTCCTCACCTAATTAATGATTTCAACTCTATTTCTTACACCTCCTACGCGAGCTATGTTAAGAACTTAGGATGCTAGGTCCCTAAAGTTAGGACACTAGCTTAGCTAGGATAGGAGCAAGGCCGCCATGGAACGGCGCTAGGAAAAACGGATCTAGGAGTAGGAGTAAAGTCGAGAAGAAAGAGTGTTGGATTAGGAAGAGAAGGGAGTACAAGGAGGGGTTTGTACCCCCTACAGAAAGGTTCAGTAGCAACCTACCAAGCCTATATAAAATTATAACTTATATAATTTTAACACACCCCCTAGGCTTGGTAGTGTCAAGCCCACTCACACCCCCACACCCGCACCCAACCCACCCCCTAACCCCGCACACCCTCAAGCTCGTGCTTAGCCGGGTATCTGACCCTCAGGCAAAGCGTTGACACACCCCCGTACACGAGGCAGCCGACGGCGTCTAGGCGGGTCAGCGACAAGCAGCCGCGGAGCTCTGGCTCAAGGCGGCTGGGTCGCCGACGACAGGCGGCGACTGCCGCGGCTGAGGGCTCTCGGCAATGTGGCAACGACCGGGCAGAAGACAGCAGCTGCGACAGGAGGAAGGGAAGATGCAGGGGGGGGAAGGGAGAATGGGGGGGAGGGGGGGGGGGGGGCGGGGCGAGGCGGGTCATCAGCGACGCGCCATAAGAGGCGCGGCGCTTACTGGCAGGGGGCCGGGCAGGTGACGACGGGGCCAGGCAGGGCGCGACGGGGCCGAGCGGGTGCGACGAGGCCAGGCAGGGCGCGACGAGGCCCAGGCAGGGCGCGACGGGGCCGAGCGGGTGCGACGAGGCCAGGCAGGGCGCGACGAGGCCCAGGAGGGGCGCAGCCGCGGCGTCGCGCTGACGTCGTCCCGGTCGCGTGTCGAGACGGCCGCGGCGTCGCGCTGACGTCGTCCCGGTCGCGTGTCGAGACGGCCGCGGCAGGACGGCGCAGCCAGCGAAAAGACGACGACGCCACAGCGTGACGTCGCCGCGGCCGCCATGGCAGCGTCGATGCCGCAGCGGGGCGTCGACGCTGCGACTGCAGAACAACGGCCCGACTCCGCGGCAGCGCGTCGGGCCGGTCGCGGCACGACGCGCCCAGTGGCAGCGCGACGTCGCCACTGCAGCAAAACGCGGCCGCCATGGCCGCTGGAGTGAATGAGGGTGAGGAGTAAATGGCGGAAGCGAGAGGAGGCAGTCCAGCAGGAAGGATCTCCTGCTCTGATACCATGTTAAGAACTTAGGATGCTAGGTCCCTAAAGTTAGGACACTAGCTTAGCTAGGATAGGAGCAAGGCCGCCATGGAACGGCGCTAGGAAAAACGGATCTAGGAGTAGGAGTAAAGTCGAGAAGAAAGAGTGTTGGATTAGGAAGAGAAGGGAGTACAAGGAGGGGTTTGTACCCCCTACAGAAAGGTTCAGTAGCAACCTACCAAGCCTATATAAAATTATAACTTATATAATTTTAACACAAGCTACAGCAGCGCCGCCAGGCCCGCGTAGGACACTCTGCCTCAGGTGCCAACACAGCTGATATCTTTACTAAGGCGGTTGCGCATAAAGATCATCAGCGGCACTGTGTACAGCTTGGTCCAATTTCTGTAGCTTCTCACTTGCTAGGACCCTGATTGTGTACTTCTTATATTATCTTGACTGGCCTTGTGGCTCTTGTTCCCGTGGCTGGACAAGTAGTGCAGCTCTGGGTTACTCTTTTTTAGGTTGTACTTGACTGGCCTTCGTACCCTTGCCTCAGAGGTTGGACTAGTAGTGCCACCCTGAGCTGCGTGTCTCTTGTCAGGCACGCCCCTCATCTAGCCTAAGGGGTGTGTCAAATATATGTATATGTTATTATAGGCTAGATAGGTGCATACTCTAAGAGAATACAACCCCTTAGCACAAAACCACCATGTATCTCCCATTCTAGTTCATTCAGTTACTCTGAGAGGTTGGTTGGTTGTTTCTATGTCTCATAGGTGTGTCCTGGACTGAGTTTATGGTGGTGCACTGGTTGTAATTCCTCGCCTACCCATTTTGTGTTACGATTCGGATGCAAGAATGCGCCCCCCATTGCCTTGGGGCGAATTCATACGAAGTTGCATCAGAATCAACAATCCCAAATCCATTACTGATCCGGCAACCCAGTCGACAACGCCAAGATAACAAACCAGGCCCGCCACCTCAGCGTCGCACGGGCGAAGCTGATTGGCAGCCACTACAAACAGATTCGTCACTACCCCAAACGACGCGGAAGAAGCAACACGTGGCACAAGCGTACCACTGCGCGACTGATTGGTGCGTGTGCGCAGCGTGAAAATCGACAGTGTGGATTTGTGTCGTCACTCTTGGGCAGACGGGGCGAGGATTTGGGGTGTACATGTCGGATCACGCGCCGTCTCCTGGCCTCGTATGCGACAATCGAAGGCGTGCGCTTTACAGGGTTGTTGATCTGCTGGTTGTAGAACGGCAGGATCAACAACATTATTGATTCTGATGCAACTTTGTAGGAATTCGCCCTTACTAGAGAGACTACAGTACCGGTATGTGCATGGTACCTGGTTAGTTCTGTATACCAATCTCTGAATACAATCAGAATGGGTCCAAGGAATGGAGAGGCCAGAACAGTATTGTACAGATGGCGTAGCACAACAATTTTGTTCTGCGCCAACAATCGGGCCCGACACCAGCCGCAGAGGAGACAGGCGAGGCATAATGCCATCACACTCAGGACCATGCCTTTGGACTGGATCGTCAAGTCGTGACATCGTCACACCGAGGGCAGCAGCAGTGCAGCAGCCACTGACCTCCCCTCTTCGTTGAGCACGTTGAGCGTGGATATGGCATGGCGCTGGGGGGGAGGGGGGGGGAGAGACAGGAGTAGGAAGGACGAGTAGGAAGGGCAGGGTGGGGGTTATCACGAGTGCATCAAGACGGGCAGCAGCAGAGCGGAAGCCACTGATCTGCCATTCTCGTTGGCACGGTGAGCATGGAGATAGCATGGCGCTAGGGGTGGTGGGAGGAGAGGGGTAGGGAGGAAGAAGTGAGGGCGTGAGGGGAGCAGAGTGCCTCGTGAGAAGGCAGAAGCAGCGCAGCAGCAACGGATCTCCCCTCTTAAATCGATGCGTTGAGCGTGCATATGGCATGGCGCTGGGGGGAACAGAGGGACAAAAGTAGAGAGAATGGAGATTTAACAGTGTGGCGAGGTCTGGCAAGGAGAGGGAAATGGGGGAGGGGGGAAATGGACAGAGTCGAAGAACCAGCAGTCGCATCTTGTCCCACAAGCAGTACACGGGGAGAATAGAGAACACGGGGAGACAACAAGGTACTTCGTGGTCGTATGAATGGGAAGTGTGGGCAAAAACCACCCTTGGTGAGCGATGGAGGGGAGAGGTGGGAAGGAAGTTTGGGGGACAAAGTGAGGGAGAGAAAGAGGAGTGCAGAGGGACGGGCAGAGGGAAGCAGGCAGGCTGGGAGCGCTACCTACCAAGTTACCAACACCACACAGCACTCACAGTGGACAGCACTCGCAGTGGACAACACTCACAGTGGACAGCACTCACTGTGGAGAGCACCTCCAGCTTCATGCCACACGCCCTCACGAACTGCCGCAGCTCCACTGGCACGGGCTGGATGCGCTGCCCCGACCCCAGCAGCAGCAGCTCTGCATGGGGGAAGACCGGGGGGGGCGGGGGGGAGAGCGAGGGGGAGAGCTGATCAGAAGTTGAGTACTGAATCCGGTTTCTGGCTGTCAGGGAGAAGGTGAGGCAGGTCCGGTGGCAGTGGCTGGATGCGCCGAGCTGAACCCAGGAGCAGCAGCTCTGAGGGGGATGGCGGAGAGATGGGGAAGGGGGTGTGAGAGTGAAGGATCTGAATGGGAGGAAAGGGGGGGGGGGGGGGGGAGTGAAGGATATGATAGATTTGCTGGTTGGAGGCCAGCAGAGGCCAAGAGGTGACTTTTGAATCGAACTCAAAAGTTCTTGGGGGGGGGGGGGGGGGGGGGGGGGAGGTGAAGGATAGGCTTGATTCGCTGGTTGGAGGCCAGCGGAAGCAGCTGCAGGGGTCGAGGAAGAAGGGTGCAGGTGGGACATTGAGTGTCGTGATTTCTTTAATGGCAGGAAAAGTCTTGTGGGGAAGGAAAAGAAGGAAGAGAGGAGGAAGAGAGAAGGAAGCATAGGGGAGGAAAGTGGGGAAGAAGAATGCATGAGAGGCATGAGATGCATGAGAGGCATGAGATGAGAGGCATGAGAAGCATGAGGCATGAGAGGCATGAGAGGCATGAGGAGTATGAAAAACTAACGTGCTCCTGATACCTGCCATGCACATGCCGTCCACAGCACCTGCCATGCACATGCCGTCCACAGCACCTGCCATGCACATGCCATCCATGGCACCTGCCATGCACATCCCGTCCACAGCACCTGCCATGCCAGCCCATCCACAGCACCTGCCATGCACATGCCGTCCACAGCACCTGCCATGCACATGCCATCCATGGCACCTGCCATGCACATCCCGTCCACAGCACCTGCCATGCACATCCCATCCACAGCACCTGCCATGCACATGCCATCCACAGCACCTGCCATGCACATGCCATCCACAGCACCTGCCATGCACATGCCATCCACAGCACCTGCCATGCACATGCCATCCACAGCAGCTGCCATGCACATGCCATCCACAGCACCTGCCATGCACATGCCATCCACAGCACCTGCCATGCACATGCCATCCACAGCACCTGCCATGCACATGCCATCCACAGCACCTGCCATGCACATGCCATCCATGGCACCTGCCATGCACATCCTGTCCACGGCACGCGTGACGGCAGCAGCAGCATACCTGGCTGTGGGCGAATGAGCTGAAAGAGTGCCAGGCTGCGGTGGTGGGCAGGATGACAGGGGCAGACATGGGAGGCAGGGAGGCAGACATGGGAGGCAGGGGGGCAGACATGGGAGGCAGGGAGGCAGACATGGGAGGCAGGGGGGCAGACATGGGAGGCACGGGGGCAGACATGGGAGGCAGGGGGGCAGACATGGGAGGCAGGGGGGCAGACATGGGAGGCAGGGGGGCAGACATGGGAGGCAGGGGGGCAGACATGGGAGGCAGGGGGGCAGACATGAAGGGAAGGGAGAGGGGAGTTAAGCAACGAGCCCAAGAGCAGGAAGGGAAGAGCCAAAAGATGGAGGGGCTGATGCACAAGGTGAAGAGGGGGGCTGATGCACAAGGTGAAGAGGGGGGCTGATGCACAAGGTGAAGAGGGGGCTGATGCACAAGGTGAAGAGGGGGCTGATGCACAAGGTGAAGAGGGGGCTGATGCACAAGGTGAAGAGGGGGGCTGATGCACAAGGTGAAGAGGGGGGCTGATGCACAAGGTGAAGAGGGGGTTGATGCACAAGGTGAAGAGGGGGCTGATGCACAAGGTGAAGAGGGGGCTGATGCACAAGGTGAAGAGGGGGGCTGATGCACAAGGTGAAGAGGGGGGCTGATGCACAAGGTGAAGAGGGGGCTGATGCACAAGGTGAAGAGGGGGCTGATGCACAAGGTGAAGAGGGGGGCTGATGCACAAGGTGAAGAGGGGGCTGATGCACAAGGTGAAGAGGGGGCTGATGCACAAGGTGAAGAGGGGGCTGATGCACAAGGTGAAGAGGGGGGCTGATGCACAAGGTGAAGAGGGGGCTGGATGCACAAGGTGAAGAGGGGGCTGATGCACAAGGTGAAGAGGGGGCTGATGCACAAGGTGAAGAGGGGGCTGATGCACAAGGTGAAGAGGGGGCTGATGCACAAGGTGAAGAGGGGGCTGATGCACAAGGTGAAGAGGGGGCTGATGCACAAGGTGAAGAGGGGGCTGATGCACAAGGTGAAGAGGGGGGCTGATGCACAAGGTGAAGAGGGGGGGCTGATGCACAAGGTGAAGAGGGGGCTGATGCACAAGGTGAAGAGGGGGCTGATGCACAAGGTGAAGAGGGGGCTGATGCACAAGGTGAAGAGGGGGGCTGATGCACAAGGTGAAGAGGGGGGCTGATGCACAAGGTGAAGAGGGGGCTGATGCACAAGGTGAAGAGGGGGCTGATGCACAAGGTGAAGAGGGGGGCTGATGCACAAGGTGAAGAGGGGGCTGATGCACAAGGTGAATTGGGGGGCTTGGAGGAGTGGCAGGGGGAGAGGAGCACGGCGCTCGTAAGGGCGAGTGCTGAAAGGAAGGGAATCCTGCCATGCCATGCCGTGCCGTGCCGTGCCGTGCCGTGCCGTGCCGTGCCGTGCCATGCCGTGCCGTGCCGTGCCGTGCCGTGCCATGCCATGCCGTGCCATGCCATGCCATGCCATGCCATGCCATGCCTTTCCACGACGGGCAAATCCATGACATGACAGGCGCACCTTTCAGGAGTGACGCCACGTCAGCGATGCCAGTCGACTCAAAAGTCACCTCGTTACAATGTCACACAGCGTGCACCTTTCAAGAGTGACGCCACATCAGCCATGCCGGTGACGACCAGCAGAGTGCTGAGACACCGCCACCAATGATGGACGCATGTGACCAAGCCATGCCATGCCATACCACGCTATGCAATGCCATGCCATGCAACAACACGATATGCCATGCAACGACACGATATGCCATGCAACAACACGATATGCCACGCAACGACACGATATGCCATGCAACGACACGATATGCCATGCAACGACACGATATGCCACGCAACGACACGATATGCCACGCAACGACACGATATGCCATGCAACGACACGATATGCCATGCAACGACACGATATGCCATGCAACGACACGATATGCCATGCAACGACACGATATGCCATGCAACGACACGATATGCCATGCAACGACACGATATGCCATGCAACGACACGATATGCCATGCCGTACGATGCGATGCAGAACACAGCTCTCACGAGTGACATCATCCATAGAAGACGGCGACCAGCAGATGATGGCCGCAAGTGACCATGCCATGCCATGCCATGCCATGCCATGCCATGCCTTGCCATGCCATGCCATACCTTGCCATGCCTTGCCACGCCGTGCGAAACGCACCTATCGGGAGTGACGTCAGCCATGCTAGAGGGCGACCAGCAGAGCGCCATGTCGCCCACGCAGATGATGGACGAGTTGATGTCTCGGCCACCCACCGTGAAGCCCTTGTCGTCGTACCTGCCAGGGGGAAGAGGGACGGTGGGTACAGAAGCGCACAATATGGCACACAAGGGTCAAGCACCGAGTTGATTTCCCTGTCGCCCGCAGTGAATTGGCCGCTGTGAATCTGCCGCTGTGGATCCCTCGTCGTTGTACGCGCAGACGAGTAGGGGGTTGAAGGGGGCAGACTTGAACTTGACTTGACTGTCACCAATACAGATGATGGTGGGCCAGTTGATGCCTCTGTTGCCTGCTGTGAACCGCATGTCGTGTAGCTGAAGGGGGGGGGGGAGAGTAGCGGGGGGTGTACACAGAGTGGTGCAGGGTATATAAGCGTCAGGGGGTGGATGCAGGGGGGTGGATGCAGGGGGAGGGAGAGGAGGGAGGGAGCGGAGGGAGGGGCAGGAGGCACGGCACTCACGCGGTGATGTGCACGCGCCCGCTGCTCTCAGCCGCGCCTTCCAGCACGTTGAAGGCGGACGGCTCTGCGGCTAGATTAACGGCGGACGGGGCGGCGGCTAGGCCCCTGCACTGCTGGTGCAGCCGCTGACACTGGTGCTGCTGGTGCTGGTGGGGGGGGTAGTGAGATCTGTGATTGTGATGTCCGGTATGGATTCCAAGGGCGTGTGGTTGATGGAATGCGATTTCACCGCCGTTCCCGCTATGAGCTCGCCCGGCTGAGACCGTTTCGTTATAGGCACATGGATCCGCCTCTTTAAAGGCATGCGCCCGAGAACCAGCCACCGTGCGACTTGAGGCGCTCGCTAGTGAGGCCCTCGCTATTAGCGGACGGGCAAGCGTGCCAAGCTTTGATCGCGCAGCCATGGCGCTGCACGCGATATAAGGCCCGTGGGGGGAGGGAGGCGAGACGAGAGCAGAGGGAGGAGAGACGAGGGCGGGAGACTCTCCTGCGAATGCGGCGAGAAGCGAGAGGAGGAAGAAGGCGAAGCCGGTCGAGATGGCGGACAGGAGGAATGACGCAGGGAAGGGAGGGATGGGCGAGGCAGATGCTGAGACGGTGGCAGTGAGTGGGTGATCCGTCTCACCAAGCAGTTGTGGCCGTTGTTGATTGTGACTGATCTGCCTCGCTACAAGCATTGTCAGCTGGACCGGCGATCTGCAGAGTCATTCAACACAACCTTGCTGCCTATATAATACAATGCTGCACGCACAGGATTTTACAACGCACCCTGCATTGGTTCGTTGTACCAATCTCCGTCACTACAAATACACTATGGGACGCCACGCCATCAACGACGATGCAACGCATGTGCTCATTACAGCCAGACAGCACTTCTCAGACAGCCTATCTCTCTTGACTCGGAACTTTCATCAACACACCGGCGGCCCCATCTCGGTGCCCAGCAAGGCCCTCCCAATTTCCTCCAGACTGCTCCCCTCCCCGGCCTCCACAGCAGCTTCCAGCCAGGAACTACCACCGCTTTCCACTGGACAAACAGCCACCGAAATTAAGTTCCCTCTGATCCACGCCTCATTGCCCAGCAGGGCCCTCTCAGTCTCCTCCAGGCTGCATCCCTTGGTCTCCACGTCAAACGCACGCACAAACAGCTCCCTACTCCAACTCGCAACGCAGTCACGCTTCACTGGCGGCAAGCAACACCCTGTTCAGGGGCGACTCGAACCCCATCTGATCCATGACTCACTCCCCAGCAACTCCCTCTCGATCTGCTCCAAGCTGCGCCCCTTGGCCTCCACAATAAAGCCTCACACAAACCTCACCCCCACAAAGCACCCATCAAGTCCACGCCTCACTGCCCAGCAGCGCCCGTTCGATCTCCTCCAAGCTGCAACCCCTTGGTCTCCATGGTAAAGCCTCGCACAAAGGGCACCCCGGCTCAAGCTGATAGCAGTGAGATGAAAGGGCACTACCTAAGCACACTGTTTAGCAGGACTCATAACCCCACCCTCTATGCCTCACTCCCCAGCAGCTCCCTCTCGATCTCCTCCAAGCTGCGCCCCTTGGTCTCCACGATAAAGCCCCGCACAAACAGCACCCCGGCAAAGCACACCGCGGCAAACCCCACATACGCGGCCGCCACGCCCACGGCCCTCACAACCCCCAGAAAGGAGAGGCCGATAACGAAGTTGCAGAGCCAGTGCGTAGTGAGCGCCGCCGCAACTGCAGACGCGCGGATGTGCGAGGGGAAGATCTCCGGCAGGAGCAAGGCTGGCACCGGGCCCGCCCCCATGGCGAAGGAGAGCACGTAGGCGACGGTGCCGAGGACGGAGAGAGGCGCCGCTATGGGCTGCAGCGGCGGGAAGGAGAGGGAGAGCGCTAGCAGGAGCATGGAGCAGCCCTGGTGGGGTGGGGAGGTGGGGGGAGATGGGGGGAGAGGGAGAGCAGGGAACAGAAACTTGGGCAGTGGATTAGAAAAGGGGGAAGTTGGAGAGGAAAGGGTTGCAGAGTATGATAAAAGGGTAAGCATCAGTACTGATATACTGCCATGGAGGGAATTTATAAACGCCATCATTCATATCACCATCCCATGGCATCACACATGCCGTACCAACCACCGACTATATCATCATACCATGCCTGCAAACGAACCCATGAGGAGGCTCTTGCGGCCCTGCTTGTCCACCAATCCGAGAGAGACAGCTGTGCCTGATGTGATGGGGATGGAGAGAGGGTGGTTGACAGGAGAACGAGAGGGAGAAAGGTAGAGAAGGGGGCGGAAGAAGGATTGCTGATAGGAGAAAAGAGAGGGAGAAAGGTGGTGCATCTATCGTTTAGGAGCTGACATCAAGTTGTGTCCACCTTGTGGTAGAATGGATGGGACTGTGTAGCACCTATGCCACGCATGGGAGATGAAGTATGGGTCGACCTGGGTGGAATCGAAAGCACATGACGCTCAGAATTCAGACAACCAGACATGTGAGCAGCCATGCACTTTCGACTCCCACCAAGTCGACCAATACTACATCTCCCACGCATAGCATATATCAAGCAGCCCCGTCCATGCTGCCACATAAAGACGGCACGGCTCAAGAACGGCTCGGCTCCTACACTACAACTTCAAGCCTGCCACGAGAACGGTGACCGCTGGTCTTAGTCTGCACTACACTAGTGTGCCAATGGATGTGAGACAGAGGGAGTGAGGGAGACATGACACCTGAGACAATACAGGTGATAAGGCTGCGGTAGTGAGCACAAGGCTGGAAGCCGAGGCAGCAGCGCAAAGTCAGTAGCATCTGAGGCAGCAGCGCAAAGTCAGTGGCATCTGAGGTAGGTCTACATACTGACTGCATTGACTGATCGCCACATGTGCCAAACTTACGCGTTTAGGCTCGTAACGTGCGCAGAAGGTTACAGCACTTTTGTGTCGACCCAAAAGTCAGAAGATTACAGCACCATACCTAGAACGTTAGCAAGCCCCACGAGTGTGCTGGCAGCGACGTCAGACTGAATGCCGGCGGTGCGGAAGACAGCAGAAGAGTAGTAAATGACCGCGTTGATGCCGGCGAACTGCTGGAGGGCGAAGAGCATCATTCCCAGCAGCACCACTGGTGGGGAAGGGAACGCGTTCACAGGATAAAAGGGGATCAGGAGGAGAGGTCAAGTGAGCAGAGGAGTAGAAGATGACTGCGTTCATGCCTGTGAACTTCTGCAGGGCGAACAGCATCATTCCCAGCAGCACCACAGGGTTAGCGACAAGGGAAGTAGAGCGGAAGGGAGGGAGATTAATATTAGAAACTGAGAACTTCATTGATAGAATGAGCAAGAGCATACATCCTTAAGTACCAAGCATCGGAGAGGATGGGAAGGGATAAGGGAGAATCGGAGGTAATCCCAAGGGAATCCTCCCAAATCGTGAGGATTTGGGATGGATTGGGTTGGGATAGGTTGGTGATGAAAGCATAGCTACACCCAACCTAACAAATATGCATATCCCTAAAACCAACAAATTGCCAACACAAAGTTGTGCCAACCGAATTGCAGCCTATCTCTAACAATTAAGACAGCAGAGGAGTAGTAAATGACTGCGTTGATGCCGGCGAACTGGGGAGCGAGGAGGAGGAACATGGGGCAGGAGGGAGAGAGTGGGGTGGGGAGTGGGGGGGGGGGGGGGGAGAGTAGAGGAGTAGTAGAGGTACTGTAGAGGAGTAGTAGATAACGGCAAATTGCTGCAGGGCGGATGGGAGCATCGCCAGCAACACCACTGGAACAAGAGGGAGGGGAAAGAGTGTTAGTAACTGAAAGTATGATCGGGAGCCAAAGGCTCGATTACAGTGCATGGCAAAGCAGGAAGGAAGAGAGGGTTGGCGAGAGGCCAAACTAAAGCTGTCTTAAAGTGGTGGTCAACCAACTTTTCCTGTAGTGTTGGTCAAGCAGCCTTGTCCTGGAGTGTTGGGGTTGGGACAAACGTGGGGGACCACATTTGGGTTGGATAACCCAACTCTACACCAAAATGTGAATCCAGCCTAGCAGGCTACAATCTAACAAAGAGGTGTGGCAAGAGAGCCATGGACGGCCGGTCCGATTGTGCAACGAGGGAGGCACGTCAGCAGCATCGTTAGACCGGCAGGGCCAGAGGGCTTCAACGGTGCCTCATCGCCGGTACCTCTTCAACGCTGCCTCTTCAACGCTGCCTCATCTTCCTGCGCACCTTTTCGATAGCGATTCGAAAAGAGAGTCTGCAGGGAGGCGGAAGCTGCTTCGTCTGCTCTCCTCCTTGCCGCACCCACGCCTGCCTCTGCACGCTCCAATCCATCACCAGCAGCACCCTTGGCAGCAGCAGCACCAGCACTTTCAGCCGCGGAGGACGCAAGGTCAGCCACAGCAGCAGCACCATGGGCCGGGCCTAGCAGGCGCTTCAACTGCCGCTCTGCCTCGTCCTTCCTGCCGACCTGGCGTGTGCGGTGCAGGGAGCAGGGAGGGGAAAGGAGGGTGCAGCCGCAGCAGCAACAAGGATGTCAGCACTTATAGCAGAACCGGCAGCACAGGGGATGAGGGACCCAGCGGCCCATTCAGCTGCCGCTCTGCCTCGTCCTTCCTTCCCACCGGGTGCATGGATAGAGAGGGGGAGGGGGAAAACAAAGGGCAAGACACAATACAGAGGAGAAGGGAGAAGCTGTGTGGCGCACGTATGCATCGTGCCATGCGTACATGTGCACACCCATCATGCCACATGCGTACATGTGCACACCATCATGCCACATACGCAGCACCTCTCACCGTAGCCAGCCTTCTAGCACACTCAAACGCCCATGTGACGCCAGAAGCCATCCAGCCATGATTTTTGAGGCGCCTACAAACAAGATGCTAGCCATGGTTTTGAGGCGCCTACAAACAAGATGCTAGCCATGGTTTTGAGGCGCCTACAAACAAGATGTTAGCAGCCATCCAACCACTCCATCAATACATGCCACCTTACTTGCACATGTACGCATCGCACCAACCACCTTGGGCTCTCATGCGCCCATGCCATGCCAGCTGTGCATCCAACTATCTCACCAACACTTAGGGCGTGTCCTAAGCGTTCATTGGTTGACTGTACATGCCGTTGACGTAACAAAACACAGTTCAACAAACGGTACTTGATTACAAACAAAAAAGGAATCGGATCCTGGAAGTGTTCCCGCTGGTCCTGGAACAAATTGTCGGAAACCGAAGTGTATCGCACGGAAACAAAAAAACCCGCTATCCGGTTACCTTTTTGTTTGGGAGCACAGCTTTCTGGTTTTTTTTTTTTTTTTTTTTTTTTTGGAAACAGATTCTCCCCGATTCGAAGTCTAGAAACCTTTATTGCACGAGATTTGAGTGCGTGCATTTGCACATTGTCCTGGCTGTGGTTTAGACCGCCGAATCAGAAATGCCCCTGAACGGCTTCAAAACGGCCAGTCGATTGTTTATCCAGAAAGATCATCCGCAATTTGTGCTTAATTGCGGATGTTTACCCCCTGTCGTGGCCTCTGAGAGAGTAACTCGGGGCTTTAGGAAAATCCTTGGGGTTCGCAAATTTCGTGGCCGCAAAACACGGTCAGCTGGGGGCAAGGTGCAAAAAAACGGCGTTTTTAACTTTTTTTTACCATATAA